CGTTGACGAATAGGTAACCATTTTAATTGAGATCGATACGTGGATACATGGTCATACTTTCGAAGATTGAAAATGAATCGAATGCAGTTATTCAGAAGACGGTCATATTTATTGAGAAGATCTGTATTCAGATCGAAATAACACACATCACCATAGTCGATTAGGGGAAAAATTAAACTTTGCAGAAGCATTGCTATGATTGCAGATGGTAGAAAATTTTTTAGGCGATAGAGAGAACGCAGGGTACCGGTAACTTTCTGGCTAATGGTCGTTACTTGGTCTTTTCAACTCAAGGTAGAATCAATTAATAAACCTAGATCATTCACAGTAGAACACTCTACTCTTGAATCTCAGACCTATTAAAAAAGATAGGAGGTAGAGCTACTGTTTTCAGTCTATGAACCATCCGACGGCTACCAATTATTATGGCCTGACACTTCGAAGGGTTGACCATTAGGCCAAACCTGTCAGACCAGTTCTTAATATACTCAAGGTCCCTGTTAATTATGTCCACCGCTGTAGAAATATTGTCAATACTCGCTTGTGTGTACAATTGCAAGTCATTGGCATACAGATGATACGCAGATTGAAGGTCTTGGGTAATGAGATTAATAAATATAGAAAAAAACAAAGGAGGTAATATGCCGCCTTGAGGAACACCAGCATGTAAGTCAAGCCAGCTAGATGATAGCTTATCGATGCGAACCGACTACTGGCGACTTCGAAGATATGATGAAAACCAATCCAGTGCTTCGGATGAGACCATAGAAAGGGAAAGGATGGAAATAAGAATGTCATGACTGATGGTATTAAAGGCGTTCGAGAAGTCAACTAAAACCAACACAGTGACTTTAGTATCCTCTATGCCTGCCCTAATATCACCAGTTACTTCCAGGAGTGCGGAAACGGTGCTATGACCAGGCCTAAAGCCAGACTGCAAGGAACTTAATAAGTTAACATTATATTTTTATAAACAGAAGATTGACGTTTAATTTAGATTTAAAAGTAGATGAAGTCCCAATTATAACAGGTAGAATAAAATCAAGACATATTGGGAGGTTACATTATTATAAATAGTACATTTTAATTAATAATAATAACAAACTCTGAGAGAGGCATTAGATAAAGTATAGTAATTATCTTGTTGATTAACGCACACTAGGATGCTGTGCTTATGCGTGACCATAGTTTGCTACATTGGATGTGCCAGACAAGAACAAAATGTGGCTGCGTCAGCCGAATTCCTTAAAGAGGCAGATGTTCATACACGATAATTATAGTTAAAAGAATAGAAATTAAGTGATGTGTTTTTTCGTCGTATTGTAAGTGTGTAATGTTGCAAGCAGGGAGGAATAAGGTCTCTCCTATATAAAATGTTTAAGCGCTCGGAAAGTCTTAGTTTTCAATTTTTCTTCATTGTTCTCAAAGACATGTAAGTAGTAGTAATAGACCGGACATCAGCAACAAAATGGTCACCTCTTACTTATGTCCTATAGGATATATTTCGGATTTGTGTCATTGTCTTAGTGACATCGTCAAAAGCTCAACAGGTATTAGTTACCTAAATTAAAAAAAATATTTTTTAAAGAAAATATGCCCGATTGTGCATTAAGGTAAGGTAAGTCCGATATGTAGCAAAAACTGAATGTGATTTCGGTTTATTATCGCAAGTATAATGAATATTTACCCCATAATTTTAAAATTTTATTATTTCTGGTAGATTGTTCTAGAACATTTATCATTATTGTAATAAGCGCCCTCTGTTATCCAGTAAGTCACCAAATGACTTAGTGATCAGGTGGACCTGTGTCGGGGCACACGGACGTTGATTTTAATGTGAAACATCTATGTCAGCCAGTACAACCAGTTCTACAACACTAGGAAAATTGCAGATGCGTTGCCGGCCTTTTTAAAAGGAGTTTATATTAGTACATTCTATATTTACTGTCAACCTGTCATTTTCAACTTATTTCGGAATACTTATTAAAAAAGTTATTATTGATAATACACTACAAAAATAAATAAATAAAAAATCTACAATAAAATCTAGTATTTAAAAAAAAATCTAAACGCATAATGGTAGTGTTACTTTAGTGTTATGATGAAACGTGTACCACAGATAAAAACGGGTTTTGATGCATTCAAAACCTATAAAACGTAGTAAGGAAATGAGGTTTTTCATTAAAAAGCTAAATTATTTTACCGGCACTAATAAAATAAGTTGGACCCCGTAATTTAATATACACTTAAGTCACTATTTTTTGACGTATCAATAATTGCTGGCCGTTTCATATTTTGGTCAGGTCATATTTGACCGATGTTCTTTGGTGGCTGGAATTAATCCGGACAACAAACAGAGCACTCCCCGTAGTAAATACGATAGAAAATGCAAAGGGATGTAACATCACTACGCGGCGCCAGTGAATCGAACCAATCAAAGAAAACTCGGTCATCGACGGTTCTAGCCGCTCTGCTCTCTATGCGGTCAAGTGGCAGGAGCTCGCACTGGGGAGCCCCGGCGCAGAGGTGAGAACAGTATTCCATGTGAGGCCGAACCTGCGCTTATATAATTGCAAACGGTGTGCAGGCATGAAATACTGTCCCGCTCTACTAAGTACGCCAAGCTTTTTAGAAGCCAATTTAGATTTCTCTTTCAAGTGAGCATGCTACTGCAGGTCATTCGATACGTCGACGCCGATAATTTCGCTAACAAGGGAAGTGCTCTGAAATTGAGGAGATACGACAAAGGTGTTCTTTTTAGCGGTAAAAGCGCAATCTTGAGAATTTATATAATAATTTATCATGTAACGACTTTTAAGTTCAGTGCTTTTCTATAATATGTTAGATTTAAAGTGTATTTTTGTAAAAGAAACGAATTTGAAAAACATGGAGGCGCTCTCTTATTGGATTTGACGTATCGCGATATGCCTGCGACGCCGACCAGTCATATGATATTATTATAGCGTCTAATGGACCTAGTGACGTCATCCAAGACTGCTGTTTGAATTGATTGTTAGTTATTGGGAATTGAATATTTTATTTCATGACATTTCATTTCATTCATGACGTTATGCATGAATTAAAAAATTATATGTTTTTTTTTGGTTTTTTGGCATTTTCTACCGCATTTAACATGGGGAGTGCTTAGTAATTAATTCAAGTCGCCGGAACCAAATTCCACCAACGCATATCGCGAAAAAATTCCCGATATCATCCACACCACCGGGATGCTTGATACAATTTTTTTTTAAAGTTTTGAGGTACGAGTTGAATCCGTCGATTGACCTCTTGGTCGAAGATGCTGAGGCCGAAGTTGAAGAGAGCCGATTCGAAAAGGCCGAAAACGCACCTGCAATTCCCCTGGTGTGGCAGTTTTTCGAGGGCGGCGGTAGAGACTTTTCATCGGTTGAGCCGCATTGCTCGTTTGTCCACTATTATATAAAAAAAATGATATAACCGCAAACTAATTTTCCGCTAAGATTCCGTGTGAATGGGTACAGTGGCCCGTAGCAGTGGGGTGAAATAGCGTTGTATCCACAGCTAGGGGCCGGTCTGAGGGGTATAGGGTGCTAGGATACTGCGGGTCAGGTACCTGAGCGCAGGCAGCAGGCGAGCGTGTAGAGGCCGGGCCAGCGCGGCGCCGTGAAGCGCAGCTGCAGCTCGTGCGCCTCGGTCACGTACCTGAGCGCAGGCAGCAGGCGAGCGTGTAGAGGCCGGGCCAGCGCGGCGCCGTGAAGCGCAGCTGCAGCTCGTGCGCCTCGGTCACGTACCTGAGCGCAGGCAGCAGGCGAGCGTGTAGAGGCCGGGCCAGCGCGGCGCCGTGAAGCGCAGCTGCAGCTCGTGCGCCTCGGTCACGTACCTGAGCGCAGGCAGCAGGCGAGCGTGTAGAGGCCGGGCCAGCGCGGCGCCGTGAAGCGCAGCTGCAGCTCGTGCGCCTCGGTCACGTACCTGAGCGCAGGCAGCAGGCGAGCGTGTAGAGGCCGGGCCAGCGCGGCGCCGTGAAGCGCAGCTGCAGCTCGTGCGCCTCGGTCACGTACCTGAGCGCAGGCAGCAGGCGAGCGTGTAGAGGCCGGGCCAGCGCGGCGCCGTGAAGCGCAGCTGCAGCTCGTGCGCCTCGGTCACGTACCTGAGCGCAGGCAGCAGGCGAGCGTGTAGAGGCCGGGCCAGCGCGGCGCCGTGAAGCGCAGCTGCAGCTCGTGCGCCTCGGTCACGTACCTGAGCGCAGGCAGCAGGCGAGCGTGTAGAGGCCGTGAAGCGCAGCTGCAGCTCGTGCGCCTCGGTCACGTACCTGAGCGCAGGCAGCAGGCGAGCGTGTAGAGGCCGGGCCAGCGCGGCGCCGTGAAGCGCAGCTGCAGCTCGTGCGCCTCGGTCACGTACCTGAGCGCAGGCAGCAGGCGAGCGTGTAGAGGCCGGGCCAGCGCGGCGCCGTGAAGCGCAGCTGCAGCTCGTGCGCCTCGGTCACGTACCTGAGCGCAGGCAGCAGGCGAGCGTGTAGAGGCCGGGCCAGCGCGGCGCCGTGAAGCGCAGCTGCAGCTCGTGCGCCTCGGTCACGTACCTGAGCGCAGGCAGCAGGCGAGCGTGTAGAGGCCGGGCCAGCGCGGCGCCGTGAAGCGCAGCTGCAGCTCGTGCGCCTCGGTCACGTACCTGAGCGCAGGCAGCAGGCGAGCGTGTAGAGGCCGGGCCAGCGCGGCGCCGTGAAGCGCAGCTGCAGCTCGTGCGCCTCGGTCACGTACCTGAGCGCAGGCAGCAGGCGAGCGTGTAGAGGCCGGGCCAGCGCGGCGCCGTGAAGCGCAGCTGCAGCTCGTGCGCCTCGGTCACGTACCTGAGCGCAGGCAGCAGGCGAGCGTGTAGAGGCCGGGCCAGCGCGGCGCCGTGAAGCGCAGCTGCAGCTCGTGCGCCTCGGTCACGTACCTGAGCGCAGGCAGCAGGCGAGCGTGTAGAGGCCGGGCCAGCGCGGCGCCGTGAAGCGCAGCTGCAGCTCGTGCGCCTCGGTCACGTACCTGAGCGCAGGCAGCAGGCGAGCGTGTAGAGGCCGGGCCAGCGCGGCGCCGTGAAGCGCAGCTGCAGCTCGTGCGCCTCGGTCAGCGCCGTCACGTGCGCCGGCGCCGTCAGCAGAGTCCGCGACTTGCGGTCGCAGATGTAACACCACCAATACTCTTGCTTCTCCTGCACAAACAAACAAACACTACTTGGTACAATGCGCCTGAAAAAATCTTATTTAAATTACTTTACAAAAGGAAATATTTCATTTTTATTTTCGTGATCAATTCCGTTTTATCACATAGCAAATTCAAATTTATAATTTTGAAGAGTAGCGGTAAATTCGATCAATATTTTTCAGTTGTAGAAATGAATCCATGACTATTCTTTATACTAAATATTTAAGTTTACGAGTTTTGAAAGGAAAATGTTATGTAATATCTCTCAGTAAATGTTTATTTAATATGATAAATTAGATTTTCGCTACTAGATAAGCCAAATCTCTATAATCTCTATCTCTTCAAAAATTATTAAGTTAAATGAAAAAAGTACAGAAAATCATCAGATTACAGAATACTTTGATTGTACAGAAATGGTTTTGAAACCGAATCTAAATTACGTTATACCCATTAAATGGATACTGTCGAAAATTGTGTAAAGCAAAATATCGAATATTTCTAGAAATATGTAATAAATTGTAAAAGCAGTCTAGAAACTCCGCCTTTTCGAATTTTCTTATAAAGATAAATTTTCTAGTAACATAACTTATTCTCTCATTTTTATTTTCAGTATTTGAATCCACTTCAGTCACAGACGATTTGAATTATGATAACAGAAATGTTTTTAGTATTTATCATTCTTTCAATGGAACAGTCCCGTAGAGTTCTTCAACTAGCTAGTCAGCTAAACAGTCAACTCATTTTTCAATTGGTCAGTTCAGTTTTTTTTTTTAGTAAATACAGTCCACTAGCTCTCCCCGTCCTTTTTAGTACATATTTTCGAAAAAGATGTAACAGAATCCCTTTTAAATTTTGATGCGAACAAAGGACCGGACAAAGACAACATACCTCCTAATTTTCTGATAGCTACAGCATATACTTATTGCAAAACCAATTCGTTACCTTTTTAGTAAATGCTTAAAAATAGGGATATGTCCGTTGATTTGAAAAACAGTTGAGTTATTCCAATTTACAAATTTTTATTACGTTTTATTTTATTACGTAAAAATTGTATAAAACTACTAAATTATTTTAAATGATATAAATAAAAATTTGTATGTACGTTTTAGATTAAAAACTAAATAACAAGTGTTTAAGAATTTTTGGAAACTCCATCCTTAATGGGAAAAATAGGGGATTTAGCTATTGTAAAATTGTAAATTATTTTAAACAACATATCCTTTATCGTACATTACATTGGAACAAAAACAACACACATTGAAACAAAAACAAAATAATATAAATAAAGAAGGTACAATAGGCGGCCTTATTAGTAATCGTTTTGTAAGCGATTTCTACTAGACATCCTTTTTCTGCCGACTTCCAAAAAGGGGACGGTACTCACTTCGACTGTATGTTTTTTTTCTTTTCTTTATGTGTGTTACTTTTTTCCGGGTGAACCGATTTCGATTATTCTTTTTTTGTTTGAAAGCTGGTACTTCTCGTGTGTTCCCATATGAATTTGATCAAGGTCAGACCAATAGTTTTTGAGTAATCTTTAATAACTTATATTGAAGTCGGCTGTACAAAAATTTTCACTTTAAATTATTACGTAACAAAATGTTCAAAACGAATGACTTTGAGGGCTATAGAGGCAAGGAGTTTCAGGAGGAAATCAATATTATTGGTTGAAAGAATAGTATCTTGCCCGCCAACATGCAATAATTTGAAGTCTGGGATTCCCTACTCTCGATAATTTGAAGCGTTTATAATGCACAGACCTCATGTATGTTTACATACATCACATACATGTACAGAGACCTGTCAACACAACAGAAAATTACGGACTTCTTTTCAAAATCAACATTTGTGAATGATTGTACAGTTACAAATGTTTAAAATAATAAATCACGAATTTTGATCAAACTCTTGTTTACTTGATTTTATTCCTCCCTCCCTCATTGTTATCTGAACTCCGGTTATATTGAATTCTTGGTAATGTGAAATTTTGCTATGATCCCTTGAGTTTCAAATGATGAGTCGACTGTATTTTTTTCTCCATACAAAGAGGTTACTGGCAAAGAGAATATAATCACTACGTATAGTTATTGGGAAAAAATGAAAATACGTTTTTATTTATATTATCTACAGAGTATTTTTAGTAAAACTCGAGTCAATCGTCCCGTAAAATTTTCCTACAAACTGTAACATCCTATTTCACCCCCTTAAGGGTTTAATTTTCCAAAATTATGTTCAGTGCCTAGGCTATAATAGTTAGGGGGCGGGGGGGGATAAATACTGCAGCTATATTACTGGTATAGTTGTAACACAATAGGTCAGCTCGACCGGTGAAGGACCACGCTATCACAGAATACCAGCGTAAAATAGCAGCTTAACGCACATAATCCTGGATAGATGTAGATGTCTATGGACAACAGCAACCACTTACCATCAGGTGGACTGTGTGCTCGTTTGTTACCCTTATCCTATAAAAGTACTAAGTAGTAAAATATAAAAGTACTCCATTAATTTTGCCAATTTTTCCGTACATTGCTATCTTGTTATTGCTATCTAGAATGCTTGAACTAATTACCTATACAAATATCCAGTTATAATATGACTTTATAGGATAAGCTAAGTCTAAGTCAGGTTTAATACGATTTAACTTGCCTTTTCCGTTGCGCGTGTATAATTTGTAACCGACTTCAAAAAGGAGGAGGTTCTCAATACAAGTGTATGTTTTATCTTATTCGCAAGAAATTAAAGAAAGTTAAATAATTGGTCATAATTTGCACAGAACCCTCAAGAACGAAACCCGACTCGGACTTGGCTAGTTTTTTTGCTGTACTGTAAAATGTGTCTTCAACAACTTGTTAGGTTTTGAATTTGCACAGTCTTGATATTAAAAAACCATTTTCACTTCTTTATTATTATTATTAGAAGTGAAACTTTTGTGTTACAGGAAAACATTTCAATTATTCATATTACTTTTTGTTCATTTATTTAAAGCGCCATCTACTTCATTCTCTAAGTAAAGTAATTTTAACGAACCAAAATTGATTAAGGCCCGTATTCACAAACGACACATACATAAGTATGGTAGCAACACTACGCTAAGTAAGGTATTTCTCACTGCGTTCGTCATGGCAGGCCGTTCATTTCATGAACGATACTTAGTGGACTCTTTGTTGTGCGGACACATAGCAGTGAATGAGGCGCCGTGATTGGTTAACGTTGTGACGCGACTTCACTCGAGTTGAATGACAGATAAAAAATAATAACACGTGTTGTTTTCTTTCAGGTAAAAGACGTTACTGGTACTGTTAATATAGGGTACCTATGCATAAGTATTATTAAAATAATGTGGATTTGAAACTGTTGATAGGTATTAATTAAGTAATATTAATAACTGAATTTTTATTACAAATCTGGAAACTCCCAGATGAATAAAATCTTAAGGCCACCAGTAACTTTCAAAAGATCTGCATTTATTAGAGGTAGAAGTATATTTATTACGACATCTTTTGAAAACCTATAGTGACTTTAAAATTCATTGGCACTGTAATAATCAAAAGGATTTTGAAAGTCACGTATCACTTTTCTTGTGCTAATCGTTCTTTGCACGTTTATTCTCTCCAGGATATAATTATCAAAATCATCTTCGCTGCTGTAATCCATTGCAATTATTCAAGAAAACCAATCAGCGTATCACAAATCAACAAACAAGCTATATACCCCATACCAGTTTGACATTTACGTTGATTTGTCGCACTATGCGTAAGCTCGCTAGCTACTTTATCTGTGCGTTCATTTTGATTATAGTCTGCGCGGAAGTGCTAGTCATCGCCTTAGGTATGCAAGCGGCGAGACGGGGGAGGACGCGATTGACAAGACGCACACGAGATATTTGAGGACAGATAAATCTCCGGATAACCATGTTAGAAACTGTCTTAATTAATATAATGGGTAAATTATTTATATTTTCCGGGCTAAACAAAAATTAACACGTATTTAAAAGCGTTAATTACATTTTATTATTTATGATACAAAACAGTTTTATAAACTCACCACCCAAATTAAACCTAAATTACCATACTGCGAGAATTCTATGTTCGACCTGTGGGTTTGTATCACAAATAAGGAGGTTATTAAAACCTCAATCCATCTTAGTCATCACGGGTGACAACGCATCTACATTTTGATTTGTAATAGAGGATAGATGTAGATGTCTATGGGCCGCAGCAAGCACTTACCATCAGGTGCACTGTGTGCTCGTTTGTCACCCTTATCCTATAAAAAAAAAAACAATCCGTTATAGCACAAAATTAATCCATATCTTCTTCTTCTTCATTACTATACATGTCTTCAATTTCCATATCCTCCTCAGAATCTGAATCGTTTCCCAGGTTTATGATCAACTCGTCTATTACATTGTCAAACCTCATATCGTGGTCCCAATATTGGTTCTCGATTTTCTGTACGTGGTCGTCACACTTTTGCCATCTTCCTGGAGTGAATTCAGAAAACAATTTTGTGATGATTGGAATTTTGTCGTCCAATGAAGTATTTATATAATTTGTAGCTAAATTGTTCTTTATATCGGCCCACACAAGCTCAATGGGGTTGAGATCAGGATGATATGGCGGAAGGCGAAGAACGATATGACCTGAAGCCTTTAATATTTCGTCAATGACGTAAATTTTTTCGGACTGAGTTCTATTTATCAAATGAAAGAGTTCGGCTTTTGTATTATCTGGTGTAAATTCAACATTACGTTCGCGTAACCAATCTTGCATGTCCCTTTTTAAACTTGACATAGTAGGTTTTTTCTTTACCTGTACACAATGGTAGGAGGCATTGTCCATTACGACCACTGAATTAGGAGCTAGTTTATTTTTCAATTTGTGACTAACCCAGTTATGAAAATTTGTGGCATTCATATCGCCATGGTAATCCCCACATTTCGAATCAGATTTGAAAATTGTTAAGGCACCGTTAACTAATCCGTCTCGGCTACCACCATGAACAATCACCAAACGACGCCCTTTGCCAATATCAGCATAAATTCCAGGCTCAGATTCGGATTGCCAACACATATTGGAGGTGTGGCTACTATTAACGTAGGTTTCGTCCAGATAATATATGTTTCGGTTTTCATTTCTATGTTTCCGTATAGCTCTTAAATACCTTACTCTCCATTCAGCAATACTGGGCCTCTCAATTAAAATGTGTCTCTTAGATTTACATTTTTTAAATAAATATCCCATCTTATGTAAAAGCTGTCGTAAATAGGTACAACCGCAGTTCACAATGCCATCTTCTTTTAAAGCTGCAAGCAGCTTACGAATACTTGGGATTTTCTTATCAATAGTATAAAATTGATGAATTTTTCTTCGTATAACTCCCATGTCAAAATCATCAATGTGGATTCTCTTTTTTATTTCTTTAGGTTTCCGCGGAGATGAAAATTTTGCAATTTCCGATGTTTGTAGACTCGAATTTCCTTCAGCTACAATTCGCATTACGGTGCGGGCAGACACTCCTGTAGCCTCTGCTACTAATTTATTAATGTTCATATCATATTTGTGTTCCATACTTTCCTTGTCGCCCTTTCGTCTTAAAAAAAAACTATGTACATTATAAATAATATTTTTCACTTGTCGTGGTATTGGCGGACCCATCTTAGAATATTTATCTCATGTATTTTTGGAGAAAACTGTCGCGTACAACTGAATCGTGTAACCGTCGCGGCGGTTGACGGCAGACTGCGTCAGCTTGATGTTTGTCTACCTCCCCCGTCCTGCCGCTCACATACCTAAGGCGATGACTAGCACTTCCGCGCAGACTATAGCGCATAGTGTCGTCTAACACTCAAGTGACGTTTATGAAACAAAATTTCGTCCACTGTGCGCTAAAGCGTACTGTGCGCACGCATAGTATTGTTCTTGAATATGGGTGTAACTCTCATGGTGGTACGTGGAAAATGTAGTAGATGGCGATATTACTCAAATACGATCATTCTTTTTAAAATAAATACGTGTACCTTGGTAACTGTCTTAAATAAAATTAATATAAGATTAGTATTCGAACGAAAGATCGTTGTAATCTTGTATTGTAATTTTAATTACTATACACTTAATGGTATGTAATGGTCTGGGTTCGCGATTTGAATGATCGACCTGAATGACCCAGTACGTAGTATTTACTCCCACCACTTTACGTCACACAAAAAGGTTGCGGATCAGAATTTCAAAGCCCTCCCGTAAAAAGTTTTACTTCAAAAAAAACAAGGATCAGATTTTCTTAAGAGTTCATCGCAAAGATTCTGAATAAACAGCGCTATACTGACACAATTTACCATACCCTTGATTCATCATCATCATTATAGCCCTTTACAAGTCTACTGCTGAACGTAGGCCTCCCCCAAGGAATGCCACAAAGCACGGTCCTGAGCCACCTGCATCCATCGACTTCCTGTATGCCTGTCCAGGTCGTCACTACATCTAGTGGGAGGCCGTCTCTTCGTAACTTTAATCATGGGGGTATATTGCCATAGTTGCCACGCTTGGCGAGCGGGTTGGCAACCGTAGTTTTTTTATTGTTGTTTTGCTGTTCATCTTCTGCCTCAGTTTCTCTCTGTCGCCTCTTACGATACCAACGGGAAGATATGGGGGAGTGGATATTCTTACATACCACTACACGGGGCCTTGATTAACACTGCATGGCCGCCCTTTGTTTTAGTTGTATTCCGGTATTATCTCAAGCAGTAGAGTTCCAGTTAGTTGACTAATAAATCCACCGAGCTGCTATATATGCACTAGTGAACACACACCTGTGGAAAGTACGGGCAGTGCACGGGATGCGAGCTTTTAGAGCGTCCCTCGAGGCGTTCCCGTTTCAGTATCCGCTTCTGGAAGCGTTCCCACTGGTCGTCGTCGTCGTCCTCGGCCGCGGACGACTTGTCGCGAGACTCATCCTCTGAACACGAGCTGTGTGAACCAGACTCGTCCGAACTGCCGAAATCTGACTCTTCACCTGTATTGTAAGTAATTGAGCTTTACACTCCAAATAGATATGATGCTCTGCTAAACGATTAAAAAAATTTGCAACTTTCTATGTCAACTAATAGGTACTCTCTATGTTTTATTTTGTCATTGTGAGGCTTATGTAATGAGATCAAAGATAAGCTGGGATGCGGCGTCGAAAGCCACAGGTGAAAATTACATTTCAAGACGGCATCTTAATTCACTGCATCTAATTGCTTTTCATGTCGCAACAACTATCATATAACCTTGAAAGATACTCCTTACATATAGTCGCATCAAGCATATTCAACATAGCTTGTTGCTATTCAGCTTAGGCTTGCTTAGCGTTGATCGCAGAGTTGCTGCTGCCTGTCCCCATCACCAGCCTTTAGGATTGAGTTTGATATATTAAAATAGATTTTTTTTGACAGTTGTCAGAGTGTACTGCATGTAAATGAGATTGTACATTTCAAGGAAAAGTTCGCATATTCCTCTTGCAACCCCATATTATGAACCTAAGAGCTTTTTTAATGAGGCCAGAGTTTATCTGTTTTATTTTACAAAAAGGATATGGGCACAGTTAAAGACCTTACAGTTGGGAAACGAATGTACTTGTGCAGGGCAACTGTGGGGACCTTGCGGGGCAGGGGGTGGGCAGACCTGTGCTAGCGCACTTCACTGATTGTGCTAAAATAATACATGCGGTTGTCGCAAGCGTGTTTTATAGTACTTATTTAACTGATTTTAAGTGCCCTTTTCGAAAAACTTAATATCGATAATGCTCAATTACTGTTATAGTTATATGAGTTACTAAGTAAAATTGAATTCAAATGACGGCCTTGCTTATGTTTCCCCTCATTTATTTTTTCATAAAATCGGATAAACACTGAATGCAAATACACTACATAATTAAATTTAACAATCGAAAACTGAAAACATCTATAAAAAGAGTGTCACGAAAATATTTGACAGTGAAACACCTGTACATGTGTTTTTTCTGGCAGTAATAAAAATGATCTTGTTCAATAAATGTTTTTAACTTGTACTTGTGTATGTACATAATGTTAATAAATGATGAGTATTGTAACTTAATTTCCATTTCATGACAAACCCTAGCATATACGCTGGCCGCATGAATAATTACGCGGGCGGCGGCATCGCCTGGCATCAAAGGCGTTTCATAACTGTAAGGTCTAAACTGTGATATGGGTCTACCGTGTGAATTGGTATACTACAACTACTATTTCTTTAAATTTGAAACATTGCTTTTTAGAACTTAGATTAGATCATAGCTGCAAAGAACATCTATAAGCATTGAATAAAACCACTTTAAGCAGCTTTGATTTTTACTATTAAGTTATTAAATGAACTTACCTTGCAATATTTTTTTAAATATTGATCTAAATAAATAAATTGATGTAAATACTAACCATCATCGTCCTTTTTCTTTGGTTCTTTAGTTTTCTTGGTATCATTGGTGACGGGCGGAGTGACCGTCGTATTTACAGGTGCAGGTTTTACGGGCTGCTGTTTATTTGTCGCTGTTTTCTTTGATTTTTTCGATTGTTTCCTGGTTTGTTTCATCCAAACTGGTCTTTTGAATGTATCTTTTTTATCATTCTTTTCATTTTTGTCGTTTTCAACCTTTTCCCCGTTTTCACCACCACCACCTTCTTCATTTTCCCTGTTAATTAAATTGTAAACGTTTAATGGCTACACTGGAATGGAAAAATAAACCATACTAGGGATAATGATTTCTTATGATGACGAATTTTTGTCGTTTTCAACCTTTTCCCCGTTTTCACCACCACCACCTTCTTCATTTTCCCTGTTAATTAAATTGTAAATGTTTAATGGCTACACTGGAATGGAAAAATAAACCATACTAGGGATAATGATTTCTTATGATGACGAACGCTACACATTGAATAAAACTATAGTTTTCACGAATTTTATCGCATTTATTAAGTTATTTTACCAACGTTTCGTACTTTACAGCACCCTTGGTCATGTGGGGGGTCATAACACCTCAGGTGTTAGACGCCCCAATGTCATAGTTAATCATCTTACATGAAACTATAAGATCAATTAAGCCCACGTAAAAGTACACACAGTTGATGTGAAGAATCGGAAAGTCTGCAGTCTGTGAACACGTAAACGACCGCCCCCGCCCGAAACTAGTTTCATAGCTTTATTGCAACTAGTTATCTGTTTTACTTTCGTATCATATTATGTTCTCTCATGAATCACAATCCATCAATAACAAGTTATCCCTACACAATTTATGACCCAAATATATATACATACATACATACATATATATATATATATATATATATATATATATATATATATATATATATATATATATATATATATATATATATATATATATATATATATATATATATATATATATATATATCGGCACGTGTATAAAATCTTACGGTTAGATCGAAAATAAATGTTTTTACTCTAGCTAAGTGTCGTATTAGTAGTAACGTGACACCCGTTGTTGTTTATATGATTTTTGAGGAAAAACATCATCGGAAAGTGTACCATATAATTTGCGACAAATTGCTAACAATCTGCTTAAATTATATTTTCTTCGATTTTATGGTGTAACGCACGCATATTTGCACCATCCATCATCTGTGTGCATCTTGAGGATGATCCTTTTCACCTACATATAAAATTTCAAATGACCCATGATATTTAGTCACTGTTAAATCCATAACCATGAAAGTTGATTATGATTGGACTAAAGTATTTGTTAAAAGTTTAAGCAACTCACTTTATAGTTTCCTTTTCTTTTAAAGTTGTATCTCCAAAGAGTTCCTTCATATTGGTTCTCCGGAGCGACACGGTCACAGTTACTATTGCGCCAGCAGTCACTACTGTAGAGTTTTCATCGTCAATAACTGGAAAGATGCATGTTCAATGATTTCGGTTGTAACTTCAACACAACGGATTATACAAAATAAGTTATTCTCACCGAAATTGTATTTGATTTATCTAAAACTAGATATATGTATATGACATTATGTTATCATTTGAAATGCTATTAAAACTAGTTGTGCAATATATATATTAAGAAATCTAATTCGAATACAAGTTCAAAGGCTTTAAACAAAAAAAAATGGAAATCTCACTTTATATTTATAAATTTTACATGTAATGTAATGTAACAACAAAATATAGAGATATTCATAATAACCTTCAGTATTCACTTGAAAATGTATATATGGCATATTTCCCAAAACTTTCATAACATCCTCATACTGTTTATCATTTAGGAACCTTAGTATTTGTCGCCTATCTTCACCGGACAACTGTGCTAATTGAAGTAATGACTTTATGTGTTTCTTGCGGTTTGTAAAATATTTTAGGTGATCTTCTGTAATGTATGGCAGCTGAAGTAGTGGTGATTTGTACTCCCAGAGGCCCTGAACTATCATTGGCGATAGTTTCATACAGTTTTCAATAGTTTCTATGGTAGGTAAACGAGGAACTGGAAAAAAAATACAAAACAAGAATTTCTATTTTTAAACTTCGGTTTATAAAACTTTATTTCTCATTAAGCTATAAATCTCTTATATGATAAGAAAAATACGCAAAGTAAGTACGCTTAAAAATAAACCTTGGGCGGGTAGAATAATTTTGTTTATAACAGTTACAAGATGTAGTTTTATTGGGTTGTTATAAAGCGATGGACCAAATTAAAACAATTATTTTGCATTTTAATTTTGTGCATAAGTATTCATTATTAAAAAATGGGTAGCATCATTTATTACATAAATAAATATTTTTAAAAACTAAAATTTTTAAGTATTTTCTCTGTAATTTGTTCTTATACGTGTTATACAATTATACATGTACTGTATACGTATAATTGTTTGACATTCATCATTCTGGTCTCTATGTAAGTAGTTTTGGACGGCGTTAGAAAGTCATAATGGTATAAATTCGATGTTTAACTTATTTATTTTGTAGTCTCTGTTACTTTTTCAATTCGTTTTAGATGCGCTGCACATAGTTCAATGAGGTAAATTAGGTATGACCCGTGAGTTAAGCTTTGCGTCGGATACATCGAACGATATTGTACAGTGATCCTCATCAGAGATGTCTCAATACTAGTTTACCAACTCCAATTTTAACAATTCGATGTCTGCTTGTAAGGTGCGATTGTATGAATTTGTATGCAGTGCCTGCAACGCCAATATGTGCTATCTTTAAGAAGTAAGGCGTGACTTACAGTATTAAAGGCGTTCTTTGAATCGACAATTACAACCAGAGCAATTTTTTTAGCTGTTTGATTTAATAGTTGTTATTAAATCTATAGTTGCACCGAGTGTATGGATTTGGGGCGAAACCGTATTGTTTCATACAAAAAGTTCATTTTTCTTAAATAATCATGTAGTTGATTGTATATGATTTTCTCATATATCTTGGATAAAACTGGCATCACAGACTGATCAGTAATTTCCGGCATCTAATTTTGTATTGGCTTAAAATTTGCCTTCCATTTCAATGTATTCAATTAGAAGATTTAATTATAAAGAAACAATTTTGATTAATGGCAAAAAAAAAATTAAAATTACTCCATAACCCTCTGAGAATATAGAATAGATATCTTTACTTTAGGTGAAATATTATGTAGCATGATAAAAATGGCTACACAATTGGTATATCCTTTAACCCACATTATACATAACCCATTACCCACCAACCACTATATAAATAACGTGTCAGTAAAATGTTACCTCCACACTAGGATTTCCTGTATTGTGGGGGCAGTTTACATACATAAATTTCACAAGGACAAACATCCAGACCCGGAACAACTATTTGTAGGCCATACAAATACTTGTTCCGTGCGGGATTCGAGCCCGCGGCCCTTAGCGCAGCAACTCATTGCTAAGCCACTGCGCCACGGAGTCGTCCTTTCTGTTTTCTGTTTGCTTGAAAATGAAAAAAAAAATTAAATTATTGAAAAATTTTTCAACATTACTACCAATTAGAGCTACCTATGTATTAATGCCGTACTTAGAGCAACACATTGTATAGTTACAAATAATTAAGAAGTAAACAAGATACAACTGTATTGTCATAAAATTAAATAGTAACAAAAAGATATTATTATAACAGCAGAATGTTTTGGTACTTATAAAGGCTTTTTTTTTAATCAAACAGATTGCAGAACAACAGAAATAAAGTAATTTAAAATAATGTACAACTTACTTCTTCTAGCATAAGCGAGTGCGATAAGTTGGTTAACACAGTTAACCATCTCAACGATGAGATCGGGACAACGCGAAACAACATAACGTCTATCACATTCAAGTGTGTCTGGTGGCAAGCGCATACGTGACAAATGTGCATGCAGAAGTGCACGCGCTTTAATACTATACGGTCGACACAGTGGCTGCTCCTTATTTTTTTCGCCGAGGTTTGGTAATTCCCGCAATAGCTGTAAACAAAGTTATTAACTTTTAAAAGTTCTCAGAATTATATCTAATATCAAAATTGCTATGTAGGTTAGAGAAATCAACAACATATCTCCTTGTATTGGTCACCATAGCCGACTAAATAAACTAATCGAAAATTTTATAGTCACTGAATTCTGAAAGATGTTTGTTCAGATATTTCATGCATAAATAAGAAGAAAATATCCAGGAAAGCATCAAAATTTCAAGATACATGGCAATTTTTTATAGGCGAGGGGGCAAACGAGCATACGGCTCACCTGATGGTAAGTGACTACTGCCGCCCATGAACAACTGCAATACCAGGGGATTGCAGCCGACCTTTTAAAAAGGTGTAAGCTCTTTTCTTGAAGGTCCCTAAGTCGTATCCGCCCGGAAAAAATCGCCGGTGGTAAACTATTCCACAGAGAGAGTTTGCAATGAGTTTTCTTTTCTTTGGGAGAAACCAAACCAAATACAAGGCGAATACTAAATTCATAAACATGAGTTAGAAGACGTCAAAAATTACTGTTAATGAAAAGCATCTCCAATATAAAATATCAAATAAACATACAATATTAAAATAAAATAAAACACTAGAACGAAAATATTGCTGGCAAATTATTAGACAACAGAATATTTCATTATAATCATAATTAATGCTTAAAGCATTCAAATCAAAATAAAAAATAAAACTAGTTGAATTGAGAGTACTCTCTAGGACACACTATCACTTCTCATTTGGTGACTATTTTAAAGTTTATTACATTAGTTTATAGAGATACGAAAAGATTATAGAGATTATATGCAGGCTCCTTTTTTCAAAGTTCTGTAGGAACTGCAAAAAATTTTGAATTAACTGTGTTAAATTTAAAAACTTATATTAAATTCAACTGAAGAAATTGGATTAGAAAAAATATCTTCAATATTTGTTCTGGAGATGCGCAAACGAAAACATTCACTAAAATGAAAGTACATCTCATATTGAAGTTATATATCCAGATAACACAAAATTTTCCTCATATAAATTTCTTGAGGTATTGGTAAATACTCTCTGTTGTCTGGGCTTCAAACCTTCCAGATGTTATGTTCATGTTGTTATAAATACAAATTGTTTAGGGATCTTGATGTACTTGTATTTTAAGATAAGAATTTTGTTGTATATATTATCATTAATTGTGCCCATATGAGGTACCCTACTGTTGAACCAGATGTTTAGTTTTGAGTCTGATGCTAACATTGGTTCTTGTTGTATGTGTAAAGCCAAGTTAATTCTAGCATGGTCAAAAGGTGCTAAAAAAGGTTGTTAACCCCTAAAAAATTTCAAATTCTCAAAGTGTCGAGAAACGAAACTGTAAGCATGAACTACTAGCAAAATAATGAATATATTGTTTGGAATAAATCTTCCAAAAACGCAATTTGAGAGAGTTTAACGATTTTTTTTACTATCACGACCCACGTGTCATACACCACACAGAAAAATAATTGATCATCCACACTAAATTGGTAAAATAATTAAGCACTATTCCAGCCCTAAATGAGAGGTGGAACAAGTGTGTCAATACAGGAGACGATTCAGGCATATAAGGCTTTAGAGTTATAACTGATACATCATCTAGTCCACTAGCTTTATTCATGTCCAGACCCCTCAAGTTATTAACAAACTTTTTGTTGGTGATAATATACCATGAAACTATACTGTAACAGAAAATTTTATTCCAATAATTCTAAGGTTTGTTAAATCTATTAAGTACAAAGAATTTTTCTTACAGCAGGAACTTCCTCATTGTCTGTTATTCTCTCAATAATTTCAGAGTTATGCCTTCGATCGAATTCACAAGATGCTGCAAGAATCATAAGGGCACGCTTGAGAGGCATTGAGGGAGTTTTATGGCAAAAATAGAAGTACATTTGTGTTGTATCCAACAACACCTGTTCTCCTGAATACCGTATTGAGCGATACCACCAGGTACCAACCTGAAAATAAAATAAGTAATAAATTTATGATTTATACACATAATTAAGCATTAATTATTTCTTAATCCAATAAAACAAAGGAACACGCGAGAACGGTGAGCAAAGCATATGCACATTCAAAAGCAAATACAAACTCTCACCACTATGAAACGAAATGTGGAATCATTATTACACAGATAATTTTAATTAATTGCTGTCTTGTGTATTTGAGCATTTTAGAAATTCATTCAAAAAAATATATATTTTCAAGTGTTTATTGATACTGACAACTTGGGACACAGTTTACAGAAAAATATTTTTTCTATACTAGTTATAAGCAATACCGCTGTGTAATTTAAGTGAATATAACGAAAAAAATGTTTGTTTGTATGTTCATATAAATTCTTATAACAATTTTAAAATTAGACACATATTGATGGCTTATTTGTCCGTTTTGTTAATGTAAGAATAAAAAAATATTTTCACTATACAATTTTTTATTCAAAATATATTCAGTAGCTAAGTGTATATATATTACTAAATACTCGCTTTAACTAATTCAGGTTTTCATATAACATAAAATGCTTGTGTTAGAAGTGGTTAACAACAGTATTCAAATGACAGACTTGAAACCATAACTTTTGAATTGGCTTAGGCTAAATATCTCTTAAACTATTTAATTATGACAGTATGATTTGGTGTTTTTATTGAATCACACAAATCATTTTTCTAGGTTTGGGTTTCTTCAGTGGGTAATTTGTGTATGTAAATTACTTCCATGGTTCAGGACCTAGAGAGGTTACTTTTCAAAAGTTAATAAGCTTCATATATCATTTAATACTGATAATCACAGTGCTTAGCTATTGCCAACATTATATATTCAATAATATTTGGGCCTTCTTCATTACCCTGGTAAAAGACAAACATGTGTCTTCTGGGGATTGAACTGGACTAGATTTAGTCGCCCCCAGTCTGAGACTTATATTAAAAGGAATTTTAGGACCATGAATTGAGTGGGTATATGGATGAGGATTTGAATGTTTTGTGAAGATGATATTAATATGATTAAGTATGCCAAAGCAGCACAATTCACTTATTTCCACAAAAAATATGAATACTTTAGTCTATACTCTTTTTCATTTTCCATCAATTATACCTTTATGGTTTTTTAATTATGTGCTACAATAAAAAAAGCAACATTTAAAGTTTTTTAAAAACTTACAACTGTGTAAAATTATATAGTACATTCACTGACACAAAAGGCTAACACAACTATAGAAAATTTGTTACATTTATTGACACAATAATAAACCAACACCAAAATCAAAGTCTACTTATTCTAATTTCTTAGAGCAGAAAATTGTAATTTCAAATATGATACAATAATAAGATAATAAAAAAAAATTAAATAAAAAAAATAAAAATCAGCTTAACGTTGTGCACTGAAGAATTATTATTGTAAGGTTAGTAAATCTCAAGCATTGTAGTTATTATTTTAATAGTGCTTTTTCTCTTTCAAACCTATTATAATTGATAATACTATTGCATACTTATCTGTTTATATGATAACAAGATAACAACAGCTGGTTAAATAGGATGTCAAAAATGAGTTATATGTTGATTAAGTATAAGAATAATGAATTATATTATATTTTTATATAATAATGACAAGTACAAGACAAGAGTAGAGGTGCTACTATAGGTTAACTAATTATTAAAGAAACAGGGCTCACTTACAGCTGTAGGTAGAGCAATCATAAATACAAGTGCATATAAACCAAGCACCCACACACTATTTTCTTTTTCAACAATCCAGCTAGGCAAGGCAATTCCAAAGCTCATTGCACCAGGGCCGTCTGGATTACCATATTTCTCCCAATTTCTTCGTGCTTCTTCATCTGTAAGTGCCTGAAAAATAAGATAACATTTTTATGCCCACATCAGTTGGGTTGGTTTTAAATTCATTTAGTAAAAAGTAAATCATAAACCCAAAAAGATGCTTCATAATAACTTACTTGATATGCTTTAGTGAGTCTCATGAAAGCTTTTTCATCGCCAGTTTCCTTGTCAGGGTGGAGTATGAGAGATTGCTTGCGATATGATCTCTTTATTTCAGCCTGAGTAGCTCCAGGTGGCAATCCAAGTATGTCATAAGGATCAAAATTGGACATTTCATAGTCAAACTGTGACACTTTGTATGCTAAGAAACCAAGAAGAACCCATCCTGAGATTATAGCTAATTTAATAAAAAGATTTTTAAGGCTCTTGTATGGCTGTGACTGTTCAATAATTTGCTGTTTTTTTATACAATTTGGACATTGACAACGTTCTGCTTGCTTCACAGGATCTGAAAAACCGGCTACTTATAAATTTTCGTAAAAAATACACTTAACGACTAGACATAGAAAAGTACCGTATAGTCACGTTGACAATATTTTATATTAACACCGTTTGTTAGACAAACGTCTAAGAAATTTCATTAGTACATGAGGTACAATTCCGCATAGTACATATCTTTAAATAAAAGATTACAATATTTTGTGGACTTTTTAAGAAAACTTACCTTCCTTTCGTTTTCTTGGCCAGTAATAAAAAGTTGCTGGCACAAGTATTAAGGCGAGGAATGAAAGAACAAAATAAAAGAATGTAGACCCACTTTCATCATACTCAAACTTCTGTCCACCCATTATTATTAATTATTTAATTAATTAATAAAACACTACAATAATTGGAAATCATCACCGCGATACACGAATAAGCCATAGATTACATTACATTTACACCTGACGTGTCATCAGTCAGTTTACTACTTTGTCTATGGTTTAGTTAATTGTTTTTCTACTTAGGTCATAGACTCGTACGATTATATTTTTGCCATTGTAATGTAAAGTAACAAGAAAATATCCACTAAAATATTTTATAACACTTCTTCATAATATGCTGACGCGTAATATTGCACAGAATACTTTTACCCTAACTCTTAGCGCCTTTAGACCCTGACGAAGCTGTAAATACCTTTTGGTCTTAGAGTAATTACATACATACGTATGCATAGAGAGAACCTACAATTCTACATACGAGTACATTAAGTCAATATACTTGTTTCGCTTTTTCTAATGATTTCTTATATTTACGCGAATACTACACATTGAATAAAACTACTTTTACGGATTTTATCGCGTTTAATTAACTTATTTTTCTTATTTTTATTAATTCCCGACGTTTCGGGTGTAACAAAGATTTGCCCACGGTATCTAACTGTGAAGGATAATGGTGGGATTCACCGTTTAAATATCAGTTTGTATGGAGTCTTTTGATTTTGTCTTAGGATTTCGAATGACTAGCACATCTAGGAAAGCTTGCCTCTTACTACATAGTAAATTAACTCTGACATCGGGACGTCAATCACCTCAGTCCCCCGTGACCATGGTTGTTGGAAAGCACCCGAAACGTCGGGAATTAATAAAAATAAGAAAAACAAGTTAATTAAACGCGATAAAATCCGTAAAAGTAGTTTTATTCACTTTTCTAATTTAATTTTAAAATAAGGCAAAAAAATATATTGAAAGATGTTGAGTGGAAATAAAAATGACAAATGGTCATCTTTGGTCTCTTTATTAATTCGGTTTTACTAACTTTTTGCAGTTAATATTGAATTTTATGCATTTTTAACAATGATGCGATTATATTCAAGCAAGGCGCAGTTTTTTCAGATTGCAGAAAGTACCGAATTCTAATTACTTGAAGTAATATCAACGTTATAAGGTAAGCTAATTTTAACAATTTTTATTTATAAACAACATGGGTGCACTTTAAATAATTAATAGATTTGAAATGTGCTATTTCAAATATGTCTATCAATATTTTTTTTTTATATATTTACTCCGAATTCGTAGACCGAGGTAGGAGGTGGGAGGGTCCAAAGGAGGGATGTTACGAATGTCATATTTTTCACATTCGCGAAAGCGGATACGAATTTTCGGGATGCAAATGTGCGAATATGAAAGCGAATGTTTGGGAATAACATTTAAAAAAAAACTTTCATCAACTTAAGTCATCATTTTTATTACTTATAATAACAATACGAAAAAATATTACATCAGTAAACCAGTGTTATACTAATACAGTAATTATATCTAATAGTCAAAGTTCGAAAGTGGGATGTTATAATTTTAAAAAAGTAATTTTGCCGCTTTTTCACCCATGAGGTGATTTCTAAGAGGCTTTGTATAAGGCCAGCTGCACTGAACAATTGCTCACTCGGAACGCTGGCCGGTGGAGCGCTGAGATATTTGCGGGCCAGATCTGTCAATTAGTCATATTTTAATTTAGTTTTCCACCAGTCGAGAGGGTGTTCATTGAGAGAGGTTCGTTTTTCTTTAAGATAGTCCTTTAATTAAGCTTTAATTTCACATTTTAGTGTCTCCAGATTCTACATCCGAGCCCTCGTTTTCGCTTGAAGAATCAAGAATTCCCGCCAGGTTGCTTTTTAGACTTTTAGCAAAACTTCTTGAAAGCTCATCAATGTTGCTTGTTATACCACTCAACCTTTTAACGCCAGAAGCTAAACGCCGATTATCAAATGAATAATGAAGTTCTCGTTTTGGCCTGACCAACAATACCTCCCTAATAAAGGGTGTATGGTTTAACGAGTGACGTATTGAAGTAGTGTTATTCGATTCTCCTTTTAGATATCACAGTAAGCATTTAGTAAAAAGCCTGTTGTAGCGCAATCTATTTGTAAATGCATTTTCATTTTAAAAGGAAATAGGATAGATGATTCCTTTCCCCCCAACACTCAACCAACTTTAGTGCAGATTTGGCTGTTTCCTCTATATCAGCACTAGAGTTCACCTCAATCAATAGCATTACGTCGTCTGCATATATCTTCGCATTGGGGGGGAATGGCAGCCTCCACAAATCATCCAGCAGTAAATTCCATAGGGTCGGTCCTAAGACCGATCCTTGTGGACAACCCATGGTCGAGTGTTTCCATTCAACGCATTCGCCGACAAAGATCCACCCGTCTGTTGGTGAAGTAATCTACCAATATTTGATAGATGTTGGGTGAGATCCCATCCTGTTTGGCCGTCAAAAGTATCATCGGCCACCATGCATTGTCGAATGCCCTCGATATATCTAAAAAGACAGCCTGTACATACTTGCGCTGCGATTCGCTCGTAGTACGAAGCACGTCTTGTAGCACCGTGACAGTAGACTGGCCTGGCGAAAGCCCATGCTGGTAGTCTGATATGCCCCTCTTTCCGTCAAGTTCAGGTGTCCACCACTCGTAGTCACCTTCCCGTCTAGTGCACGCACTTCCAAAGACATACTCCGCAGATCGAACCACAATGTCCATGAACTGCGCAAAAAGACGGTCAGCTGGCTGTCTAACCGACACCTATATTACTGTTGCAGACCTTGATACCGGCCTGCGGACCCTTGCCAAACTGTACAACTCCCTGCACCTGCGGCCACTTTTCGTGGACTGGGACAATATCCAAGCCCAGGTCCCACACAAGTGTTGGAAGCTTCTTGGTGGCCATCTCACCGCGTCCCAAATTGAGCTGTCCTATCATTAAATAGTTTTTAACCGCTATATTGTGTTATCTGCCCTCTTCTCTGCGTACACCCTAACCGGGCACGTCTACGCCATTGTGGCATGGTTTCTTGCGCCCGGCTTGCCAAACGTGCGGCAAGTAGCACAGCACGTCTCGGTAGACTTGCAGGTCTCTCTGCTGTGACCCTCTTCCACACATCTGCCACATGTTTCTTCCTTTGCCCTGCAGTACTTAGCAGGGTGCCCATATTGCTGGCATCGCTGGCAGCAGGTGACATCTATGAAGTCAAATGGCTCGACCACATCCCACCCTATGTACAGTCTGTACCTGACATCCCGTAGCGCAAAGGTGCATTGTAGTACCACCGTGGTTCTTCTACTTCCCTTCCAAGATATTTAAATGCGACCTTACACTGTTTCCTCAGTTCCAGTTTCAGTTCAGTTAAGAATGATCCCACAGCACGAAATTATATTAATTTTAAAAGACTACAAGCTGTTAAAAAAATTACTTTGAAGACTGAAAGACAGCTTAGCTGGAAAAAACTATGTGAAACTTTTAATAGATCTACTCTACTCACTCCTCAAATGATAATCATTGTGATTATCTTACCAAACCTTTTACCTTGACTGAATTCAATTCAGCTGTTAACTCTAGAAAAGACACTACTTGTGGTTTAGATTCTGTTCCATATAAAGCTTTAAAAAATATGAATACTGCGTGTAGAGAACTAGTTTTGAAAATATATAATATGTTATGGTTTCATTCACTTATTCCTAACGATTGGAAAGAAGATTGTTTGATACCCATTTTAAAGCCTGGAAAAAAACCTCACATGGCAGAATCTTATAGACCTATAGCACTTACATCTTGTATGGGTAAAATATTTGAGCAACTTATAAAATCTCGATTAGAATTTTATCTAGAAAAAAATTGTCTTTTACCATCAAATCAGTTTGGATTCAGACGCCGTAAGTCATCTAGAGAAAGTATTGCATTTCTACATTTAGACATCTTTAAAGCTATGGAAAATAAAGAAGTATTAATTAGTATATTCTTTAACATTGTTGGTGCATTTAATAACGTTAATCTTCATATACTCGCCGCAGATTTGAGGTCTATGGCCATTCCTGAAAAAATTGTAAAATGGATATTTAACTTTTTACATGAAAGAAGAGTTTTTGCTAAAGTTAATAATAATAATATAATTATTGGTCCTAGGCTCAGTTATAAAGGTGTTTGTCAAGGAGGAATATTAAGTCCTCTTATCTTTATTTTATACATATTTAAATTAAACAATATTTTAGGATCAAATGTTACTAATTTACAATATGCAGATGATTTGGTCATATATGCCTCAGGAACAAATGTCAAAAACTTGGTAACCACTTTAAATGAGGCTTTAAAGAAATTGCACATTTACTTTTCATACTTAAATTTAGATATTAGTACTAAGAAAAGTAAAGTCGTAATATTTAATAAAATTCGTCCATTTAACACTAGAATAATTTATAATAACACATTTTTACCAATAGAAAGTTGTGCAAAATTCTTAGGTATAATTTTTACAAATAATTTATCTTGGACCAAATACGTGAATTCTATTTCAAGCAGAGCTTCTAAGGCCTTTAATGTATTAAAAGCTTTAGCTAGTACTAACTGGGGAGCTCATCCAGAAATATTATTAGTGGTATATAAGTCTTTGGTGAGAAGCCATTTTGAGTACGGCTTTCTTTGTTTTGCTAGATATTATAGTAGAAACATACTAGAAAAGGCTTAGTCTAGTAGACTTGAAAACTGATATCGTCCGGAAAGATGTTATAATAAGTGTTTACCAATGAAATTGCCGTTCTGCAGTACTGGCCATTTCAAATCAAAATAATTTTTGTTTGGCTAAGATTTTCAAATTATATATATATATATATATATATTTTTTTTTTAAATATTAGTAATTTGTTCATTGATTAGCTTTATGTTTTCGTTGCATTTGAATCTTTTTCGTCATCACAGATACACATCACAGAAAAAACTAGTAAGCAAATTAGAAAATATACAAAATAAGAATTTAAGATTTATTACCGGCTCTATGAGAACAACTCCTATTGTTTCTTTACAGGCTGAATGTCTCCTCCTATCTTACTTAGGTTTAAATAACTAAAATTTAGGTTTTTATTAAATATTAATTCCTTGCCTCATCATCCTCTTTTTCAAAAAGTATTATTTTACTATAATAGTATGTCTCCTATATCTAACTCAGCCCCATATATACTGCTTGACTTTCATGAAGTGATACGATATGATGAACAATATAATATTCACAAAAGCACACATACTTGGCCTTGTTATAAGGGGAATTATGAAAGTAAATTCAGTGATATACACATAAATATTGATGAAAAATTGAAAAGAAAAGAGGAGGTTTATGAACTTATATCTACATATGATGAATATCGACAAATTTACACAGATGGCTCAAAAGTTGAAAATAAAGTAGCCTGTGCATTTTACATATCTCATTTGAAAACTCGACGTGGCCTTTCCATTCCTTCATCAGCAAGCATATACACTGCAGAATGTCATGCTGTCTTAATCGCTCTTAAATATATAGAAAACACCCACATGTATTTAATAAATGGTTACTGATCTCTGATAGCATGACTGTCTTGAAGGCCCTGAAGGCAAGAACTTTAGATGCTAAAACGTCTTTCATCATATATGAAATCAAAAGTTTGTGGTAGGAAATTGAAAGAGAATAATTTGGAAGTAAAATTTTTATGGACTCCTTCACATATTGGTGTTCAAGGAAATGAAAGCGCAGACCATTTAGCTAAAAGTATAGTTACAGCTGAAATTGACAGGAGAACCGATGTTGCAATACCACATACAGATTTATATTCAATTTTAAAGCAACAGTTAAAAGAAGAATGGGAAATGCAGTGGAATGCTGTTTTAGAGGCAGGAAAAGGTCGTTGGTATGCATCAATTAATTCAAAATTAAGTATTCCTTGGTTTTCTCGCAACGAGAGATATCATAGCAAAAAATTTTATACAATAATGTGCAGACTTAGATTTGGCCACTATCGACTGAACGCTCATCTTTCCAGGATGAGAATAGTAGCATCTGCAACATGCAACTTCTGCGATACAGAAGCAGATCAGACTGCAGAACATATAAAATTTAACTGCCCAGCGTACGTCATAGAAAGATTGCTACTCATTGACTTATACAAGTTTATGAAAACTCAGAAAGCGTCCCGCGTGCCCTGCAAGATGTTCTTAGGAATACTAAGACATATTTAGCACTTTGCAATTTTATTCATAATACTGTAAAAGAAATATGAAATATGGTATCCCTGTTTTTGAAAATATTGGATTGACAAATCTACATGGATTGAAACTTACAAAGAGTATAATATAAAGAAGACTTGGCTTTAGCCTTTACGGGTTTTTGAATATGAAGAATTAAAGAAAATAAGACTTGACTACGGTCTTTATGGATTTTGAAGAGATGGAAAGAAGAAAAATAAGACTTGGTTCCGGCCTTTACACTCTAAAATTCTATATATTCAAAATAAAAAAGACAAGGCTGTATGGCTTAGTTCCTTTGCCTGCTCTCTCGAGCGAATAATAAAAACAACAACAATTACAATTTGTGTCAATTTGTGTATGTATTGACGTAATTTAATTTTTAGTTTAGGCTGCAAAATTTTTTAGTAAAAAGGGGTAATTTTAGTGTATTTTGATATTTTCCTTATTTTCACACACACAATTAAAACATAAAACAATATTTAAACTTTTATCATTATTTAAATTTATTAAATGTTATAAATCATGTTATTTATTGTAAACCTTCATTATTATTAATAGATGGCTACTAAAACAATCGCAAGTGCTACAGTCAGAGCCGTAAAGAAACGGGTACTTCCTTCTCGAGCTGCATTAGTACTTACTCCCACAGCTGTTCAGAAAGTGAAAGAAATAATGTCTAAAGAAGAAGCTAAAGGTTATATAGGACTAAAAGTTGGTGTCAGGCAAAGAGGCTGTAATGGATTGTCATATACTTTAGACTATGCAACAACTAAAGACAAGTTAGACGAAGAGGTGAAACAGGATGGTGTGATAATAATTATAGACAAAAAAGCCCAGTTGACGTTATTAGGTATGTATTATGTATTTTTCGTGAGGTTTGATATGCCATTTTGTGGGTTTAACAAGTTTAATTTTTCACTTATATAAATCATTTTTTACGTGGTAGAGCGATGCTGAAGCTATATTAGTAGTATAGTTGTAGCATGAATGGGTCGGCTCGACTGGGAAGGACCACGCTCTCACGAAATACCAGCGTAAAACAGCAGCTTAACACTGCTGTGTTTCGTATGGTGAGTGTAGAGAACTGGAGACCCTTTTTACTGGAAATGAGGCATTCCATCGTAGTCCTCACGGGTGACAAAGCATCTGCATTTTGATTTGTAATAGAGGATAGATGTAGATGTCTATGGGCTGCAGCAACCACTTACCATCAGGTGGACTGTGTGCTTGTTTGTCACCTTTATCTTATAAAAAAAAATTGTTACATTGTTTTTAAGTGTATTTAATAAATATAGTAATTAGTAAATCTATATTCACAAGTTAAAATTTGAAGCATTGATTACAGTGACCATGGTGGTTTTTATTGTTACGAGTGTAAGCTATGTATGCCCACTTTGCACTTTTCCAGTCAGAACTTGTTTTAGTTTGTGGCTGGTGAGTACTAATAACATCTTGGTCACAGTGACTAGCAGTAGGCCTGGGTTGTATCGCATTTTCTCAGAATCGTATTGTATATTAGATTTCAAGTTTCAATATCTAATATCAAAACTATATATTTCAATATCTAGATATTCTGTGTACTAATTTTTACTTTCTAAGCCAATACACTGCTGAAATGTGATAAAAATATTTTGTAGTGAATCTTACCTATTCAATGCGGATCAGTAATGTAGATGTAATTAAATGTATATTATGTTATCATTTTGGAGCTAATGCAGATTGATAATTGTTGTTTTAACTTTATTATTATACAGCTTTGAACTTGGTTTTGGTTAAGTAAATTTTTTACAATTTGCTTTACCTACATATATATCAATGGCTGTAAATAATGTATTTAAATAGGTATAGAAATTTTAATAAATTAAATAGCTGATTCCTGCGACTGTGTTAAAATCGATTTTCGAATGATACCATTGGGATTTCTCAAAATTCTTTCTCTGAGCCGATCTACTTAAATACACTTACCGACTTCAAAAAAAGGAGTTATGTATTCAACCTATATGTATGTACATATGTACTACATATAGGTCGTATATTCTTTAAATTTAGTGGCATGCACATACTAAATGATTTTTTAACGAATTTTTTTATTAATATGTTTATTTTAATTATATGAATATTTGTAATAGAGGATAGATGTAGATGTCTATGGGCCGCAGCAACCACTTACCATCGGGTGGACTGTGTGCTCGTTTGTCACCCTTATCCTATAAAAAAAAAAGTAAGCGTTTTTTAGATATTGTACCAATATATAGATTTCGTATCAGCATACGGTTTGCATCGCCCACCTCTAACCAGCAGGAAGAAAACTCCTAGTGCAACATACTGTGATGGACCGCCAAGCATCCAGATCGTGAGAATGGTATCGGGAGTTTTGCCGCTATGTGCGTTCGTGACATTTGGCGGCTGGCATTAATCCGAACAATTCCTCAGAGCACTCCCCGTGGTAGATGCGAACGAAAATGCTAAAGAATGCAACATCTCTTCGCAGTGACAGTGAATTGAGCCGATCGGAAAGGACTAGGTTGTCGACGATTCGATCCGCTCTGCGCTGGATGCGGCAAGTGGAAGCAGCTGGCACTGAGGAGCCCCAGCCCAGATATGGGAACAGTATTCCGTGTGAAGCCGAACCTGCGCCTTGTAAAGCTGCAGTCGCAGTGCCCGCATGAAATACTGTCCCGCTCTGCTGAGCACGCCAAGCTGTTTAGAGGCCAGTTTGGCCTTCTCTTCCAAGTGACCACGAAACTGCACGCCACTCGATATATAGACGCCGAGGATTCCGATACTGACTGAGGTAACAAGGGGAGTGCCTTGAAACTGAGGAGATACGACAAAGGGTTTCTTTTTAGCGGTAAACGCGCAAACTTGTGTCTTCTGAGGATTAAACTGGACTAGATTTAGTCGCCCCCAATCCGAGACTTTGTTCAGCAAAGACTCGACTTCAGACGTGGATGTTTGTCCTTGTGCAATTTGTGCTTGTAAACTGCCTCCACGATACAGGAGAATATCCTAGTGTGGGGGTAACATTTTTTAAAAAATAAAGAAAATAATAAAGACACAAGTTTGTTTGGGTACTCGGCGAAGTTTTCCCGGAAATATTGGCACGGCCGGTGTAGCATCACCAGTGCTGTAAACCACAGAGCAATGAATGTTACCGCTTCGCAACATATCATTGATATGTTTTGATACGCTTTGTGCCAAACCCGATCGAAGGCCTTCGCAATGTCCAAATTAACGGCCAATGCCTCCCCCTTGGACTCTATTGCCTCCGCCCATCTATAAGTCAGGTAGACTATAAGAGCACCAGCTGATCGACCCCGACGAAAACCGTATTGGTGGTCACTAATCAGCTGGTGATTCTCGAGGTACCACATGAGCTGGCAGTTTATAATGGATTCTATTATTTTGGAGAACAAGGAGGTGATGGCGATGAGAGTAGGAGTATAGGAAAAGACGCGTTAGACTCGATGTCAACTCTAGAGCACACGTCCTCAGCATAATTGGAGGGATTCCGTCAGGTCCACTCGACTTGTGTATGTCCAGGTAGAGGAGTGCTTTGCGAACCGAGCGCTGTATGAACCGCATATCCGGCATGGAGCACTCACACCGCGGAATGGTCGGCGGTGTGTTCCCCCCGTCATTGAGAGTCGAGTTGGACGCAAAGAAAGAGCCTAGCAGATCGTCTTTCTCCTTTGCGGCAAAGGGCCAGTGAGTCGTCCTCCCTGTGCAGAGATGGAAGAGATGACTGACAGATGTTTCCTTGAATAGCTTTGGCGAGAGACCAGAATGCACGGGTTCCCGAAGGAAGGCGAACTAGTTTCTCGCCAAATCTGCCTATGTGCTCTGACTTTGCCTTGGCAATGACTCTTTTGAAGGACCTGGAGACGGAATTATACTTCTTGTTAAAGGCATAAGAGTAAGACCTTCCGAGAAGCAGCGGTAAGAAACTCACAAGTAGACCTTTTTCTTCCAATAGTTATAATTTAACCTAATTATATGTAAAGTAATAACTTTTGTATGTGATTTTGTTATTTATGTTCACACACAAAACAGATGCAGACAAAGCATGAGAAATATAATAGTTCTATAGTGTTAAATCAGTCATAGTCTAAAATATGCCCATATAAACGCAAATAAGCAGAACATGTTTTCTTATCAATAATGATAAAATTCATTGTGAGTCCAAAGTATTATATGCAATTAAAGGCATTTTTTTTTCTAAACGGTGTTTGTTAATGACTTCCACATTATATCGGTTTTATTTTCTCTTGATATAAACATGTCAAAATTTATGTCAGTAGCCTTAGATTATTAATAGGTCTTCGCGCGCTCAGTCTCGATACGGCGGTACCTAAAAATGACAGCTCCGTGAATGCGGCATCTCAATATTGTAGTGTGTTTAAGACAATTTACAAGGATGCGAGTGTGCGTGAAAAATTGTATATGCCAGCAGTTTAGTTTAGTTTAGTTTAGTTTACGACGGGCTGTTTTCCGCAACTCCACGTCTATGCGCGTATTTTGCGTGTGGGCAGGAATAATGTGATTATTCGAGCCATGAGATCTCTCCGAAGAAGCTCAACAGGCCCTTGATGTTGCATGCAACTTCGGGGAGTAATCCCGGCGTGCCGAGATGTTTAGCCCTGTATGTAGCGACCTCCGGACATTTCAGTAGCACGTGGGCCGCCGTTTCTTCCTCCCCCATACATGCCCTGCACAGGGGACTATCTGTAACACCTATAGTAAATAAATGTTTGTTAAAGGTGCCGTGTCCTGTGATAGCACTTGTTACTATCCTAATCTGCGGCTTGTTCAGTCTCATTAAAACTTTTGTTAAGCGACTGTTAATTTCAGGCAGGGCATCCCTAGCTTGTCTACAGTCTACTAGATTTTTCCAAAGCTGAGCGTGTTGATTAGTACAGTGTCTACGTACCAGTGAACAAACGTTACCAAAGGGGATTGGTATGATTGGTTCCGGCCCTATAGTGGCCAAAGCCGATCCTCTTCTGGCAAGTTCGTCTGCTGCATCGTTGCCTCTGGATCCACTGTGTCCCTTTATCCATTGCAGGGTCACATTGTTGTTTTTACATACCTCATTTAATCGTTGATGGCATTCATATATTAGTCCCGAGTTCACCACATTGCATCTCAGGGCTTGGAGTACCGCCCTACTGTCGGTCAGTATTCTGATGGGGAAGTCATTAACCTTCCTAGCATCTATTGCTATGGCCGCTTGAATGATACCCATACATTCCGCCTGAAAGACCGTGTTATAGGTACCCAGCGGTGTGCATATGTGAATATTGAGGTCTTCAGAGAAAGCTCCACAACCTACACCTTCATTTGTTTTAGAACCAAAAAATTCTAATTTAGAAAATTCTAAGCTCTTTTGGGCTTAATCCTTCCGGCTGGCTGTTTTCATTTAACTGTATCTTGTATTTCTTATCGAAAACAAATTGTTTAGGAATCCTATCGTATTTGGCTTGTAGGATAGGAATTTTTGAGTGAATTCTATCAATTATGCCTGTATGAGGGACACTATTCTTACTCCAAAGATTTAGGGTCTTGAGTCTGATGGCAGCTAAAGTCGCTTCTTGTTGTATATGTAGATGAAGCGGAGTTAGCTCCAGCATCGCTTCTAAGGCTGCTGTTGGCGTAGTTCTCATGCAGCCTGTAGCAGCCATACATGCCAGTCTCTGGTAGCGCTGAAGCTTTTTAATTATGGTGGCTTCATTTGTCTTGGTCCACCATACCAGAGCGCCGTATGTGATCATGGGCCGAATTACAGTTTTGTAAAGCCACAGTATGATTTTTGGCGTCAATCCCCATCTTTTGCCAATCATGTTTCTGCAT